AAAAAAAAAACTCAAAACTTGGTAGATCTGTACAAGTCATCCAATTTTTCGTCATTTCCTCGGGGCCCAAAGGTCTGGGGGAATGACTGTGTGGTAACATGACTACCAGATGCATCAGGGTCATGAATGACCACTACTGCAGCACCCAATGATGGATATGGTGGTGGTGGTTCAGTCTCCTCAAGTAGATTGGATGCCTCTGGCAGCCCTACCCTGAACTGAACCACATTCCGCTTGCGATACAAGGGACAGCAGTGACAATGCAAACAAGTCAACAGCGCAAGACAAACACCGGCGGACAACATGGCAAATAGGGTCCCCAGGATCCACGGTAGTTCAGCAAGGTCCTGTTGTATGACTACATCATCTCTCCAGCAGCAATATTTCCTGGTGTCTGTTCCACAGCAAAAGGCTGGTCCATGTCGACGTTCTGGACAGTGGAAGCCATTGTACCACACACCATTAATGTCTAGATAGCCAGTGCAGTACTCAAAGCCAAGGAAGGAATGTCCGGCAATTGGCAATGACACTGACATCTTTGAACCTCAAGCCTGCAGAAAAATTCCAATTGAGTTCATTGAAGGACCAGGTTTAAATTTCCAAGGGATTGAATTTGACTGTTACAATCCAGTGGAGTACAGCAGTGCAAAGTGCTATAGTAAAAAATTAATAAATTAACCATCCCAATAATGTCCTTCTTTTTATCAAACTTGTGGAAATGCGGTCAAGATAAATGGGCAGGAAATAAAAATCAAACAAAATTTTGAACAAGGAAACTGTATGGCAATATTCCTCGTTAATTTTCAACCCATGATGAAGAAAGAAACGTCAAATGTTGAACTACAGTGCTATATACAAGTGGACTCTCTTCACAATGAAATTCGAAGGAGCAGAAAAAACATCCTTTTTTTTAGAGAGAATCCATAGTAAAAAGCCCCGACACTATGGGGACAGAACCTGATGGGACAAAAAAATTTTTATTGGACAGTACCAAGTGAATCGCAATTGTAGAAAAGGCCCAGTTCTATAATTGATTCACGCTTGCAAGAGCTGATTCTTCTGGTAGCTGAATGATACTGAAGTAACTCTGAAAAAGCAGCAGGTAACAAACCACAGCAAGCGAAGTAACTCACCAGACTCCTGCAGATCATTCACCATCACTGTCAAAACACGCAGATCTTAAAAGTATGAGAGCATTTGGATCTGAAAGAGATATGGAACAGTTGACATGCATGTCAGCACATGGTCTCTCACTTCACATTTACATTTCCAGGCTTGTATGAAATCCAGGTACAAAATACTGGGGTCTAGTGTACTTTAGCGATGCCAGTGAAACGCACTGTGCGCGTCAAAGCGCGCGGCCATTAATTTTACCGTGCTGCCCTCTATGTACCCTTGCAAAGAGTGGCACATGACGCGGCTCAGTAAAA